CTTAGGGGTTCCATCTTTTTCTCAGTATTATATTTTATCCCTTGACTTCATACCAGATCATCAATATTTTCTCCAGAAAGAGCCACTGAATTTGTAAGTCCTTCAAAAGCAGTCAAATAAATGTAATGTCATGGTTATAACAAGTCTCTGTCATTATGAATTAAAATACATAAAATCTAATTTTATATAGATATAGGGAAATACTGTCAAAACATCAAGAAAAATCATTTCAATATAAGAGCTAACTATGGATCCATGTACTTTGTGGGATAATGAAATATCATGCTAATATATAATATTTAGAAAATAAATAAACTTGGTAACCGCTAGCAACCGAGGTCCAAATATATGCTGTATAACAGAACTCCTCACCGCTGTTCACCATTTGTTTACTGTTACATTTTTGAATCTCAGATCAAGTCAGATCAATTCTGAATATTATTTTATAATATTTCTAAAAAGAGTTGTGAATAAAAATATTACCAAAGTAAGGAATCTAAAATAAACATTTGCATCCTTAAAAACATGTAAACATTTCCAAAGACATATGCATGTAATTATTAATGGTATGCTAAAGTAAAAGCATTGTACTCACTTATAGCTGAGAAAGTTCCTACCAATAGTTTTCACATTTTACAACTTTTTTCTCTTCTGCAAAACCACGTGTTTATCAGTCTTAGTAGAAAGAACCTGAAAATTGTTAAGTAATATCTTTTCATTATGTCTGACTATGTGTGATTCTTAAAAACATGTTAATCTCTTTCTGTCCCCTTACTTAAAGCATTTACAAGTCACTGATGCATTTTTAATATGTCATGCAAGGCGCCAGTTTAACTGTGCCCTGCAGTCTTAGGGAGCACAGTGTTCCCTAGTGTAAATTAATGAAATCTTTGCCAGCAGTCTTATTAAAATGGTTTCATTCAACCAATGGATAAAGTGTTTCATATTTCATTAAAATCATGATAAGTGATTTAATAAAATCTTTATAAGAAGACTTATTGCTAAAAGAGATATAGCTTGTCAAGTAACAGAAGATTGGTAATGAGATACCATGACAATAATTTATATTATCCAAAAAACAGAATTTTAAAGAAAACAATTAAAAATTGTTGTAGTTAGGATTTTGACATGCATATTTCTACATGATTAAAGTAGCATTTTCTTTTTTAAATAATATTTTGATTTGCTATTTGAAAACCTCACACATGTATACAATGTATTTTGATCATTGCCACCACTCACTGCCTACCTACCCTCAGATGCCTCTAGAACTGTCCCAACACTCCCTCCCAACTTCTTTTCCTGTCTTTCTTTTTTTTAAATTAATATCCCACAAGCTCTATCTGGCGTCGGCCATAAGCACATGGGCGTGGCCACCCACTGGGACATGGGCAACCTATCAGAAGCCACACCTACAAAGAAAAGTGCGTCTGACTCTCAGCCTTTTACTTCCCGTCATGCTTCAGCTGGAGGAGAGGCCCCTGCCATAGCATTCTTCAGACAATGGAAGTCATTTATTGAAGACATATGTTTATTATTTTTTATGTGAGATAAGTCTCACTATATGTACAGGATGACTTGCAATCATAATTCTGCTTAAACCACAAACATGGGTAGCAGTAACTTGTTTAGTTTTACTCATCATAACCACAGAAAAACTCTTTCCTCTGGGTTAAAACACCGACATGTGAAAACTGAGAAAACTTGTAGCCAGTTAACAGGGACAATTATTTCACTATTTAATTTCCATTTCTCCTTTGACTCCACAACACTTATGTACAAAATAGATATAAACCTTCTCTTCTGAGTTCGTGAAGTTTTCTTGATGAATAATTTCACCTTAAATAAATCATCAATGATAAGCTTCTTCTTCTGAAGAAAGTACTGAAGTAACTCAAAGGACTGCAACTCCTCTGCCAAAATGGATTTTGTTACATAAATGTAACACTTTGACCTGGATAATTACCTCACTGTCCGAGTGTAGGGAGATGTTGATTTTCTTTTCTTCCTAAAATAACACTTCTATTCCAATAATTGTGAGAGAGAACTTAAAATGATAGAAAGTGTAGTTAGTAACTACAATGAGCGTATTAGTGGATGTTGCTACATCCAGAAAGGGAGATATTGTGGACTTTAGTCTATTTGCTGATTTGCATGCAATTAAAATCGAGCCCATATTTCTACATCTTGCTTTGCACAGGAACATGTGTATTTTCTCTACTTTTTATAATGTGAAAACAGTTGTACTCACAAAAATAACTTGTCTTGAATAACATTTCTGATGCCTCTGTCCTCAGGAGCATTGTCCTATTATTTTGGTAGTAAATTCTATCTCACAACATGTGAGTACCCCAAATATTTTCATGAGAGAACTTATTATTGGCAGAACTGTGGTAGCCAAACATGAATAAAAAACTCACCACATAAAGGCGAGATAGTGAAACGACAAGCAGATATTTAGATGATAGAAAATTCCACGAGCTATTTCACCTCATGTACATGTTACAAAGGCACTATTAGCCAAGTCCTCTCCTATTTGTGTTGGTATTTAGATTACTTCCAGAAGAAAAGCTCCAAGCCACAGAAAACCTTGAATAACAATGTCTGGCTATGCACTGAATCTTTACTAGGAAGGCTTGATGCTTATATATATATATATTTTTTTTTTCACCCTTAATGCTCAAGGACAAGCTTCAGATTAAAGTCCTGCCATGAAGATGAGAGGAGATTTCATTCCTGTAAATGAGACTCCAGAGAAGAAAATGATTCATGTCTATAAAAAATTCAATGGTGAGCACAGTTATATACTATAAAAACAACTGCTAAAATTATCAATACTTGTATTTAAGTATGACTCACGTATATTCTTTCTAAAATCAATGGATGAGTTCGCCCTACTAGGACACAGGTTTTAAGAGAAAGCCTTAGAAGGACAGTACATTTCAGGGAAACAGCAACAAATCCTAAACCCACCTAACTTGATTACTTATCTCTTAGTTCTTAGAAGCAGCTCCCGGGAGGAAAGGATTCAGGAACAGTGTCAGCGTGGGGTGTGTGGAGACCAGTGGAGTAGGTAATAATTAGAAATGTGCAAGTTTCCACATTTAAAGTATATTAAAAGGATATTTAAAGTATAACATTGTATCTAGCAAATATGGAAAGTGTTTTTAAGATACAGTAAAAATCTGAATGAATAATGAGTGTTCATTATGTTCTCATGATAAAAACAGAATGAGTGGACTGATTTTAAATCATTTATATCCCTCAGCTCAATATTAACACTTGCACTAAATATAACCTGTCGAGTGCTCAGAAGAGCACTCGACAGGTTATATTTAGACATAGGCATTTTGCATCTGCGTGGCAAACTTTCAAAGTTTAAACTAATAAATAATTATAAAGCACCAAGAATTTTAAATATAAAAATAATGGAAATAATATATTTATTATTCATTTAAACTTTTTATAGTTTTAAGGGAATTATGTAGATTTATTTTTATGTTATCATTAAGTTTAATTTGCAGAAATAAATCTCTTAGAATCTATCTATTCCTGAGTCCGTCCGTCCGTCCGTCCATCCATCCATCCATCCATCCATCCAGTACATGTTAGCATGAGCCCTCCTCTGAAGCTTGTGGTGGCCCTTTGTTTTCTTCCTGCGGCCTCTTAGGTGCTGGGATCTCAGGTGCCAACCAATACACACAGCCCCAAACAATACTTCTATTCTCTCTTTTGTATTTCAACAAGATTCATATCAATTAATGCCAAACACTATGTAATATCCAGTTCTAGTTAAACTAATTTGAAAGAAGGACTGCTGCTAACTATTCATGGGTTAGTAGGTTTTAACACAAAAATATCATCATAGAGACACAGGATGGGAAAGTTTTATGCATATTTTTAAATCAACACCCTTTTAATATACTATTAATTCTAAAGCACAGTTACAAAGATGAACAATCCAACATTTCTCGAAGAGTACTTGAAGCTTTATTGCTTAATGAAAGCACAGTGAGCTCTCAGAAATATTGAGCATCATTCTCCAGTGTGTGCTTTTGAGTGATGATCTTTTGGGGCATTATCCCTTGGTTTTCAGCAGTGTAAGAACTGGAGAGTAGCTAACATTATAAAACAGATTAAGACATCAGAGCAGACAGGAAACAACACTTATTATACATACTTTCTTAATTTCCAAAAAAAAAAAAAAAGAAAAGGAAAATGATGAAATTGAATAACAACTTAAGTAACAGCATGGTTTGATCAGAATGGAAGAAGAAAGATTGCCACTGTTCCAGGGTCTAAAAAAATCAAAGCTATTAAGAGTAATATTGAACTTTTAAGTAAAAATTCAAATAAATATCATTTTAACCAAGGAAATATGGTTCATTTCAAATCACAGTCATATAAAAAAATCAATTTTTATCTTGATATTTATGTTCGAGAGTGGTGCCATGGACACAGATACTAAAAGCTTAGTGTGTGCCTTAAGAGGTATATGGAAAGCTCAGTGCATTTCTGGAGCCACTGTTCCTCTCCTTCTGGCAGTGAGAGGTGCTAGGGGAGAGCTGTCCTCAGCGTGTACAGTCCTCTACACCAGGACTGTAGAGTTTAGAAGGCCCAAAACTCAGTTTTCTATTAATAAACCAGAAAGTTTCATGGCTACTTGTGTCTGGAGTTGTCGCTGCCCCAGTCTCATCACTTTGTCCTGGAGTAGGGTGATTTTGTAGACCCTGTTGTGCACACAGAGAGACCGATGCTGAGAATGAGGCTGAAGAGTGACCGGAGAGCAGCAAGAGAATGGTGTGAGTGCCGGGACCAGTGAGCTTTCTACTGACTCGGAAAGCGGCGCATGGTTTGCTTAAAGATTATGGGGAGAAAAAAAAGAGCAACCAGCATGATGAAACTTTTTGGAACAGCTTGGAAGGGGATGAGAGGAATTTGGAAAAGCGGCTAAAAGTCTTCTCAACAAGGAAAGCTGAAGATCACATGCTAAGAATTACCTTACTGGATCTTTTCCAACTCTTCCTCATTAGCATTGTCTGCAAATGAAATAAAGCATTTCATTATCTCTCATCCAGTACAGAACAGGGCAGCCATTGTTCTTTTAGGGGAAATGTAACATTTATTAGCTCTTTAAATAGCAAAATGTTTTCAGCAACAACTATATGAGACAAGACTGCTACACACACACACACACACACACACACACACACACACACACACCACACAAGCATACACACAAGATGAGAGAGAAAGAGAAAGAAAGATAGAAACCTTTATCATTCTGGTGAGAGTTCATTTACATTATTTGTATGAATATATAAGACAGTGTATTTTTAAATATAATAGAAGGATTGGAATTGGATTGGAATTAGTTAATTCTTAATTACAAAAACAATTTGCGTTTCAGGATGTCCCATTTGTAGGTAGCATTAAGGATACACTTGACTTAATTGGGTATCTAACATTTTTTTTTTCAATCTTCATCCAAAGCCTGTTGCTTTGGCCACATTTTAGGAACATTTATGCATTTAGTTAATTTTAACTGTATCATTGTATACAATGTTTAAATGAAGAAAAAGACTGCTTTATTGTTTCTTACTGCTTATGTCATAGTGAGAGGTCTGCTTGGCTAAATGTTTTAATTGATATTCTAGAGAGTAGTTATGAGAGTTTAAGCTTATTCGTTTCTTGGTTTTGCATAAATTAAACAATAAAGCCTTCTCAAATTTAAATAATTCTCCCATTCACTATTAACCGTTTTCCATAAGTACCTAGATGCTCTTTTCCCTATCATGTCTTCAAGTTGTCGTTAAGACAGCTGAAGTGTAGGGAATGTTTGGGGCAAAGCTTGCCCTGTCTGTGTTAGTAGATTGCATCATGTCCAGAGCTTCATCTCTTTCATCAGAACTTCCTACGGAGCAGATCCCTTCTAGAAAGCACAAATGCCTCATAAAAATATGGGACAGAAAGTATTTTCACATTAGAGTAAGACATCTTTGACCCAAGGGAGGAGAATGGAATTATGTAGCAACTTTAGAGTAGGAAATAGAATTATAACATTTCCAAAGACATGTGTTACATTGCTTTTATTTTTCTCTACATCAGGTTCATGTTAAACAGTGACCAAACATGAAAGAGTAACAGATTTCCAAACATCATAAAATTCTAACTTCCTGGTTTTTAAATAGAATCAGGAAACAGCAAAGTATCGTTATCAAATACCAGAAAAAAAAAAAGATAGTTTATATTTTCTAAGTGCTAAGGCCCATTTTGTTATGAAGCAACATATTGCACCAGTGGGTTGGAGAGATAGACCTGGTGGACACCAAACAGACACATGCTATTGATGTTAGTTGAATGACTGTCATCATTACCTGATGATCACCAGTAATAATAATATGATCACCTCCTTCATATTTCCAAAGGTCATCTGCAGCCAAATTTTTCAGTGCTTAGCCATAGCCACAAGAGCTCCCCAATTAAGAATCCAACAATAAAGGTTCAACTTCATCAGAAAACAGTTTCAATGCACTTGATCATGGTAATTTCTAGAGACAATTACTTTAAGTCGAAACAAGTGGAATCAATTAGAATTAAAAAAGATTAAAATTCCTTAGCAGGTGGTCATTTGTCAGTATGATTAAGCATGTAAGGATCATATAAAATCCATTCTGAAAGAAGTGTTAAGCTATGAAAGGTGGGTGTGAGTATTAAGAAGGGTAATGACAATATTTGGCAAACCAGGGACACCTGCTACTAGACAGAGCGACAGAATCACTGCCGACAATTAACTTTTGATATAGAAAACAAAAGAGACCTCTGACTTTTTTTTTTTATGTCTCTCAAATGTTGGTTGTGTTGTTCAGACTGGGAAGTTGATACAGGAAAAACAACCATAATTTGGCAGCTTCAGGGCCAGTTCATTCTCCTGAGTCAGTATCAAAAGTTTTGTTGTAGATCAAGGGACTGTTAAAATAGATTTTATAACAAAAGTCCTGCCTCTTCAGCAAAACCTATTAGCTTATCAATTGATTAAGCTCCTGGCAGAAATGTTCGTTGTCCTTTTTAGGTACTCGGGTTAAAAATACCTCAATTACAGCAATTTAGTAGAAAAGCTTAAAAGGCCAATAAACTCAATAGATTGATAATATTGCCATCTTTGCTAACTATGAGGTCTATTAAAGAAGAAAGGTTATTTGGATAATGTTAATGATAAATGACAAAAATAAATTCTAGAAATATAAGGCTTAAAGTTTGCTGCGTGATTGTAACTTCAGCTGAGAAACATATGAATTAGGTTTTGAAGGTCTCAGTGTCTATTACTATTTTTTCATTTAGATTCTTCATTAGCAACTCAACCTTCCTTGAAGCCAACATAAAGAATAAGTGACATAAAAATATGGCCAATGATAGTACTGTACAGGCAATTGCTTTTAAAAGATTTAAAATCTTAGTTTAACTTCTTCTGTTGTTATTATCTTAGTAGATTATTCTGCTAATGTACATACAAAATAGTGCAGAACAGAGAGGAAACACATCGTGTAAAATATATACATTCAATGCTTGATAAGTCTTCAAACACTGTATAAAGTTTTAAGATATATCACAATTAAAGTATAAAAATTATTTGTTTATTTTTAACTCATCAAAGGCCACCTGGTATGCATTCATACGTATCTGGGGACTTTGCGATGTTCTATCTTATCCAACCAATCCGTAGATCTATGCTATCTAACAAAGTGTGTAACATGAACAAGAATTAACTCACTTTTATGTCACAAATTCTCCAATGAGGAAAGCTGTGGATTGAACTCTGCTAGAAAAAGAGCCAGAAAAAAACTCAAACACACTTTCAAACAAAAATACCATGTATAGGACACACATGTAGGTATTACATACTTTTTCAGATTCAAAACAAGGACATGCAGTCAACACAGAAATGACAGCTGTGCCATGCAGTGCAACCCCATGCTGCCCATGGAGGCTTCGGCTTCCTGGACACACAATGCTGGGGACTCAAAAATAGCTGGGCACATATCTGTTCCCATCTGGAAACTCTAAAATCACACTCAATCATGTACTCGTTGCTGAAGATTTTAGTATTGTCAATGATGAAACACATTTGCTCAGTCCTTCCACACATCTTAAGGTGCTCTAATTCGATGTTACCTGTTGGCAAAGTGTGAGTAAACAGGCTGATAGGTTATTAAATCTATTCTTTCATTTGGTTGATTGCCAGAGTGGGAATCTACACGAGAAAATCATCGCAAATGCATTGTTCATGGAGTGTCAGTATTTACTGGTGCATATGGAACTCACAAAACAGCTGACTTAGTAGTCTCAGTGCTTTAAAATACTAAGTACCATGTACTTCCGGCTCTTCTGTTCCTACTTTGTCACACTTTTTTACTGTTGATAGTCTATTTCCTACTTGACCGGAAACATAAATTAGTATATTCATTTAAGAAAGCACATAGCCATATCTGTAAGAATTTTAAAATAAAACTTTGGTGTGTAACCAGGGTAGAGCACACACAAAAAAGAATTTACCAAAGGAAGTTAGATCATTATTTAATTATGACATAATGCTATTTGTAATAACCTCAAGGAAAGGATTTGAATATTAAAGTGAGAATAAGATCAACAGGAGAATACTCCCCCTTGTTCTTTGAAGCAGCCCTTAAAATGGTCACAGACACACCTAGAAGACATTGGACACTAGACTAACACGGACATTCTGCAGTTATGCACTTTTATATATATTATATAGTAATGAATGTATCATGTACATAACCCCTCCTCAAGAGAAAAGCATAGGCTGGAGGTGAGGCAAGAGAAAAGCGGACTTTCTGCAGCACTGACGGCACTGATGCAGCCTGGACTTGAGAGAGAAACTGTGGAGGAGTTTATGTGACTAGAGGCTGCAAGCGAGAGAACAGAGCTGCTTGTTAGAACGCTGCTCACCAGGCTTTTCTAGAAATAGCTATACGTCGCTGAACAGTTAAAAGGATAAGGGACTTCGGGAGATATGCAAAAACATCTTTCTTTTTAATTCATACATAATCTACACATATTTATAAACCCTGTGATGTTTACAAAGCATGTATACAAAGTTTTTCAAATCAGTATATCTGTCTTTACAAACATTTACCATTTGGTGGAAATATTTAAAAATCCTTTCTCTTAGCCCTCTAAAACTGCAATACATTATTGGTTTCTATAGTCGGCCTACTATGTACCAGCATCAGAAGCACTTGCTTCAAACTGTAACCTACTCACTGACTAATCCCTCCCCATCCTTTTCTCCCACCAATTGTTCCATTCTCATGTAACCACCATTCTACACGACCTATGAGATCTCAGATCTGTGAGATGGACTTTATTGATGATGTGTTCCTTATCTGTATTACTGTCCAGTTCCATCCTCATTCCTGTAAAGCACAGGACTCCATCCTCTTTGGTGCTGACTATTATCCCATTGTAATTTCTTTAAAAATGGATGTTTACTTGTGGATTTATTCAGAATGTCAAAGTGTAGAAAGTATTGTTGAGAAATTAACTAGATAGAAAGAGTTTGAAAATGTATCAATAGAACAACTTTTTAGGATAAATAAAAAGCAAAATCTCAAACACTCTTATGTATTTATAAGTATACACTTAGAAACTCATATTTCTTTATCATATAGAATACTAGAAGAGCTGAAATAGATCCTAGTAGACTTTCATTCTTTTTTCTATTTTAGCTTTCTGCCCATCCCTAACTTGCTCCTCTTCTGCTAAGCACATGCCTCGCTGTTGATCACAACCATTTGGGGAGCTAAGATAGCCCCTGGGCTCTTCTCTCTCCCTCCTTGGGTGTGACCAAGGTCAGTATAAGAAGTCCTGGAGCATTTCCAGCCATAGGCTGACCTTGCTATATGGCTCTGGAGCCCTTGCTTAGTTCTGCCCAAATCACTTGTTTCTCTGAAGGAAAAAGGGACCAGGGGAATTAGTAAAAACATGGAAAAATGAACCGTTCCTCAAGTGGATAACAGAATAATCCAGCACAAATAGAGACTTTGAAAATAGAAGGCATGAAGTAAGGCAGCAAATGAAGAACACCCAGAAGCAAGGAAATTACTCAAACACCAATAGTCAAAGCAATTTGAGTTACAGCAATAGCACAACAGTTTTTAGGAGAAAATCATCATCATGTCAAAGGTGAATGTGGTTTGGAGATAAACAATGAGGAGGAAGAAAAAATAAATTGAATGGGATTTTGATGAATAACTTTTCTGTTACTCATTTGACTTTCTTCTCATTCATATGTAAGAAGTCACTGATGTTCAGCTCTTGGTTGCTATATTTCTTTCTAATTAGAAATACATCGTGCCTGTAATGAAATTTTGAGCAGGCTGGGTGGGTTTTTCAAGGACTGTTAAAAATAGATAATGTAAAAAGAATCCTTGTAAATGATCATATTTCTTCATAAGTTAGAAGAACTCGATAGCTTTTTTTGTTGCTATCTTGATAACTAATTCAATCCCTTAAGCTCTCAGGTTGATGCTAGGACACTTCAAAAGTGTCCTTTTAATGGAGACATTCTACAGATTATTCATCATCAAATCACACAAATAACCAGAATGGCCGCCACGCCATCTAAGTCTCTGGTAATACTGCAGATGTGGGTAGTCTGGCGATACTTGGGACTTTGGGCTAATTATTTTCATTTATAAAGTGACACCATGAATTCAAATAGCAAAGAAAACCCAATGCAGACTTAGTCCATCACCAATTTTCTTGGCCTGTTTCTAACCTCTTACAGGCACACCTGCCAATCTCCCTCCATCTCACCTCTGAGGGCTTTATTTAAAATCTCCTCATTTTTCACTTAAGAGTATTTGCAGTAGGTTCCTAATTGGTCTCCATGTATCCATACTCGCCCCTTTAATGCATTTTCTACAATGTGTGAACAGAGATATGATTTTTAAAGGCAAATGCAATCATGTCCTTTCCTCTCTGCAGACCTTGCCATAATTTCTCATTGCTATGTGGATAAAGTCAGAAATCGTACCGGGGACAACAGGCCCTCCACAGTCTGGGATGGAGGCCTCTTTTCCTCTCTGTGCCGTGCAGTATTGCTGCCCCTGGCCCACGCCCTGCTGCACTGTCTTCTCAGTTCTTGGAATGTAGTGTGCTTCTCTAGCCACGGAGTCTTCATGTTCCTTCCTCCACCTTAAGTAATTCTTTTCCCGAGTTTTGTTTAGTTTTAGTTCTTATGTGGCTTCCTACCGCAGTGTCACTTGGCTTCCTTAGAGAATAGTAGACCTGCACTGATAGGAACAGATTTCCTGGTTTTGTTTTTGTTTTTCCAGAAATGTCTTTCTTTCACAACACTAACGTAGTTGTCATCTTCTGTTTCCCTCAGTGAATCACTGGACACAATTTCAAATGTGTTTTAAATACCAGCACAGGACCTGCCTTATGGGAGGTTTCTTCTGAGTATCTGAAATTTTTAAATAAAGTGTGAAATGAACACCTAAAATGTACTCCTAATTATGGACTATCCATCTGGAATTTACTTCCTGTTTTGTGCTACTGGTGGGCTAAGTGGTATAGTCCAGTTTGGGCTAACTGACAGGCTTTTCTGTAAGTGACAGAAGTTTTGAACAAGCTTTTCCTCAGCTGCCCCTCCATCTGCACACACATGTACTCAGCCACATTCTACAAAAGGTGCTGCGTGTACTCGGCCACAACATGCTACGTTCTTCCTCAGCTGCCATCTACACACATGTATACTCGGTCAAGCCAAGATGTCACAGCAGGTCTGTGTCCTCAGCCACACGCTGCCACATTCTCACAGCAGGTCTGTGTGTCCTCAGTCATGTTCTCACAGCAGGTCTGTGTGTCCTCAGTCATGTTCTCACAGTAGGTCTGTGTGTCCTCAGCCACACACTGCCGTGTTCTCACAGCAGGTGTTACGTGTGCTCAGCCACGCCACATTCTCACAGCAGGTGCTATATAGTAAGACTTACTAATATTTGAAAAAGTAGATTTCCCTAGCAAATAAAGTTTTAAAATAACACACATAGGCCTGTATGCCCATTGTTTAATTTTTAAGGATGGAATGAAATTCTTCTTAAAGGGGTGAATTTTCTCTGATGAGTTTAAAGAAAATGTCAGTTTTGAAGTTGGGATTCACTATTTTTACCTACTATCTTAATGAAAATGTCCAACAATATCTTTTAGTAGATAATAAATGCCAAGCTGAATGGTATATTATTTTGAAACAGGAATGTAGGTATTGTGGAGAGAGCATTTGAGGAGCCTCTAACAATTACACTTACTACAGAAATGCATCAGGGCTATAGTGGTTCTGGGGTGTATGTGGATTTTGGGCCTAACAAATGACCTCTGGCAAGTCGTGATAGAAAGGACACTGGCGAGCACACTGATATGGAGCACATCTGATGCTCTTTCCGGTTCCTTCAATCGTGTGCGAGTCACAGGTTCCCTGCAGCCCTTGTTCATTTCTCATAGCAGCATGGTGTGCAAGGAAGTACACGTAGCCAGTGCTGAGGTGTGGGAAGTATTGCTATGGAAGCCCATCAGGAAGATGAAGAGTGCACACGTAATCAGTAAACAACCACCAGAAAGCAGAAACTCCGTTATAATTTCATATTATTTTCCTTGTCATGATACATTTGGAAATATAGTAAAAAAAAAAAAAGTCTTGGATATCTCCATGTGGAATTCTAAATGTTCAGTTCACTGACCAATGTATTCCCTGAAAGAATACTAATATTTGCCTCCAGTGTCTGAACCTGATTGATGAAATCATAAAGGTATGTAAATCTATTCATTTACAACAAGAGTTTCTGATCTGGAGCAGGGGTCAGGAAATTTGAGTTGAATAGACAAAGTGATCATGGATGGATGATACCCAGGATACTCACAGCAACCGAGAACAGGTTAGAGTTTCGGGTGCATCTGTTCCTTATTACTACTTCTGTATCCTGACGAGGTCTGAGCGCATGAGCAGGTGGAAGCAAGAAGAGCTGTGGCTGTGCTGCGGGTGCTGGGAGACTTACCATGTCCCTGGGCTCGACTTCCTTAGGGGTAAGGACGACTGACAGCAAAATGATTCCCAGGTCATGACCGGGATAACGGGAATCCTTCAGAGATAAGGTGACATCTGTGGACCTGTGATGTAAAATATTTAGATTGGGAAGAGTCACTGAACGCATAACCCCAAAATTATTTTAACCAATAATTCACTGTTTTCAGAAAAATTGACTCTTTTGGTTTCTTAGTACAGCTTTTATTGTTATCAAAATACAATTCACCCAATAAGTTTTATGCCTGTGGAGGTGCTTGAATTTCTTTGGTAAATTTCTTCACTTACTAAGGTTCTAGGAAGCTACCTAAAGAAACAACACTATTCAAAGATCTCTGAACTGCCATCTGTGATCTGTGAGAGCACAGGAAGAACTCCAGCTGTTTCCTATATGTCTGAGCCCAGCAACTGAATGAAGGTGATTTACAGCCACCACTCTTACTCGTATAGCTTTTTATTAAGCAGGGATACTATCTAAAATACATAGAAAACTGTGAGAAGAGGAGATATATAAACTGTAACTCGCCTCATATATTTTAAAGATAGATATTAGGCAACATATAATAATTTAAAAGATCATCAGATATTCAAATTAATGTTTTTAGTTTAGGGTTGAGCAAACCTATGTCCAAAACAATTTCGCAATTTGAAATAACATGAAAACAGCACTTAGAGTTATACGATGAAGGACTTAGATTTGGATTTAAATAAGTATTTCTGAGGAAAAGAGGACAAAGAATTTAGTATTATACACAACCACTTTTAAGAAAAGAAGGCTGGAGGCCACACCAGAACCGGGGACCCAGCTAAGACTCCACCCCATACCCTATGTGCACCAGTTCCACTTAAAGCACACCAAACAGCTATGAGCTAGACCCCAGCCCCTGGCCTCCATTTTATGGCCCCCTACTCTGTGTGCTTTCCCAGAGGTCATGTGGCTCTAGGGAGCCCAGAGGCAGCATGGGTACCCCAAACCCCAGAAGTAACACAGGCCACAAAACCCCTAACAGAGACACCCTACCTGAAGACTAGAAAATAAGTCCACAATAGCAAGACCAAAGAAAGGAAGCAAACACACACACACACACACACACACACACACACCACACACACACACAAGCACCAAAATCATCATTCCCTCCCAATCCTGCCCTCCCTCCCTCTTTTCTGCCTATAGTCCCTCCCTTAGTCCACTGATAGAGGAGGTTCTCCTCCCCTTCCATCTGACACTAGCTTATCAGGTCTTATCAGGACTGGCTGCATGGTCTTCCTCTGTAGCCATTCAAGGCTGCTCCCTCTCAGGGGGAGGTGATAAAAGAGCCAGCCACTGAGTTCATGTCAGAGACAGCCCCTGTTCCCCTTAAGGGAACTCACTTGGATACTGAGCTGACATGGGCTACATCTGAGTAGGGGTTTTAGGTTATCTCCATGAATGGTCTTTGGTTGGAGTATCAGTTTCTGAAAAGACCTCTGTGCCCAGATATTTTAGTTCTGTTGCTCTCCTTGTGGAGCTCCTGTCCTCTCCAGGTCCCACTATCTCCCCTTTCTTTCATAGCATTCCCTGCACTCTGTTCAAAGTTCCAACATAATTCTTTACAGACTTTGAAAGAGCAAGCCTCAACTTCATAAAGAAAAATAAAACCCCAGGATATCTGAAACAATTCTGTACAATTAAAGAACTTCTGGCAGTATCACCGACCCTGACTTAAAGCAATAGTAATAAAAACTACATGGTACTGGCAAAAAAAAACAAAACAAAACAAAACAAAACAAAACAAAAAACCCAGACAGGTTTCAATGGAACCAAATTGAAGAGTCAGAAATAAACCCACACACTTACAGACACCTGATTTTTTACAAAGAAGCCAAAACCAGGCAATGGGAAAAAGACAGCATCTTCAACAAATGGTACTGGTCTACTTGGACATCTGCATCTAGAAAAATGCAAATAGATCCATATTTATCACCCTATGCAAAACTCAAGTCCAAGTGGATCAAAGACCTCAATATAAAACCAGATACTCTAAATCTAATAGAAGAGAAAGTTAGCAACAGCCTTGAACTCATTGGTACAGGAGGCAACTTTCTAAACAAAATAACAACAGCTCAGACACTAAGATCAACATGGAACTTCATGAAACTGAAATGCTTCTACAAGTCGAAGGTCATCATCTCTGAGAGGAAAAGGAAGGGAGAAGGGGAAGGAGGGTTTATGGGTGGAACTTGGAGGAGAGGAGGAAGGAAGTTGTGATCAGGCTGTAAAATAATTAAAAATAATAAATAAACAAACAAATAAATAAATAGGAAAATTATGATGCATTAGAAAAATGGGCCAGGGACCTGAATAGAGTTTTCAAAATAAGAGATAATTAAATGACTAAATATCCCCCCAAATGATCATCATCCTTAGCAATTAGAAAAATGCATATCAAAACAACTTTAAAATTTCAATTTATACTAGTTCGGATGGCAAAAATCAATGGAACAACAAACAACAAATGTTAGAGGGGTGTGGGGAAAAGAAAACCCTCATTCATTGTTGATGAAATTGTAAACATTTGCAGCCATTATGATCAGTGTGGAAAATTCTCAGAAAGTCAAAAATAATCTACCACAGTCTGCAGCTGTTCCCCTTCTTGGGATATGCATGAAGGACTTGACGTTCTAACTCTGAAGATTCTTGCTCAGCCATATTCATTATTGCTTTATTCATTATAGTGTGAAGTACAAACAACCTACGTGTCCTACAACCAACAGATGAATAATGAAAATGCAGTACATATTCACTATTGAATACTATTTAGCTGTAAAGAAAAATAAAATTATGAAAATTTCAGGCAAATGGGTAAAACTAGAAAAGAGCATATTGAGTGAGGTAACAGCCAGATAGAAAAAAAAAATCACATGTTCTTTTGTAGTGGTGGCTTCTGGTTCCGAATCTGTGAGCACATGGCCTCTGATAACTACAGGAAGTAGGAAGTTGAAACAGAATCATTGCCAAGATAGGTGGGTTGGAGAGCAATAGGGAGGTAAAAAAGCAGGATACAATTGATCTGATCAGGAAAATGGGAAAAATGGACTTCTTTAGGGAAGGGGAAAAGAATGTAAATACAGAAAAAAGAGGGAGAGAGGTGGGTAAAATAGCAAAAAGGATTTCTAAAAAAAAAGCATAAGGAATTGAAAGGAACAGGCTAGCTTTACAGGTTTCATTATAAATTCTACACCCCATATTAAACTAAGTTCTCCTAGTACTTTTTGAGAAAGCAGAAGGACATAGATGAAAGGAGAAGGGACAAGACCCACCCTGTTGTAAAGGAACGCCAAAGATCTCCACCGCACTGCAGAGGAATGTCCAGAGGAGATAGAGTTGCCTAGAAACTGGGGCGGGACTGACTGGATTTGGATGCCTAAAATGAACCAATCATTTTAAACGTCAACTACCCTACCCAATCCAGTGTTGCCAAGCCTTCAACCCCCGTGTTTCCCGTGCCCTTTCCTTTAGAAACCCCAGGTTTCTGTCTCTTGGTGCTGTTCCTTGCTGGTTTGGGGTGGGGGTGCCCGCGATGGCTGGAATAAACCTCTTGCAATTGCATCAATCCAGTCTCCTGGGTTCCCTTCATCTGTCTCCCTGAAAATTAGGCTCCCTGGAAATTGGGCCCAACAGAATCATATTATTATTTATTTACAAAAAACTATATTACATAAATTATATGTATCATATATTTCATATATAAATCTACATATATAGTTTTGATGAAATTTTCTCATCTGGGCTGATGGTGAGTCTTTCAAGAACCAAACACCACCTAGCAAAACTGCAATACTACACATAATAAGCCCTCTTTTGAGTTGGCCAGGAGGGCCTAAGAGACTTCAAAAACAACCTGCTGCTACTGCCCTTCGTTTCCCTCAAAATGTGGAAGGTTAAGTCCCTATTGATGAAGACTCTGTGCACTTCAGACACAGGGCCCAGGAGCCCCTGAACTGAAATTGACCTGACAGTCTCCCCTTTCTGAAGACTAACTTTAATAGAACCAAACGGCACCATTCAAGCTCAAAAAAAGGGAGGTAGTCAACAGTCCTACCCAGCCATGACATCTGTGAACCACATCAACAGCTATCACAGCACAATAACCCTGGGTGCTGTAGTGGCATGCACAGCTTGGCTATAACCAACAGCTTTGTAATTAAAACGAAGAGTCATGCAACAAGAAGGAGAGTATGCCTGGTACTGAAAACCTAGCTAACTTCTCAGTGTTAGTAAGTCACTATTATTAGAGGAAAATTTACAACCACTAATTTATAAAACTAGCACAATCCCTAACGATCTATAATCTATAAGGTTGTCCTCATTCACACAGATACATATAGTCTTAATTCCTAATCAAGAAAACTTCTCCACAACAGACAGAGAGGTCACTACAGAAAACCACAACCAATATAAATGCAGAGCTGTGGAGCCCAGTTCCAATGGGTACATCCTCAGTAAACCTTGTGGAAGAGGAATAGAAAAACTGTAAGAGACATAGTGTCAGAGAGTTGGTTGTGAGACTGAGAATCCCAGCCAAATCAGAAGCTATACCCATAAATTCTGACCAACATGATTACCCAAATGTGATCTGAACAAAGATGACACCAATGAACATGCCAAACTGGACAGAGAAGTAATCCACAAGGCTTCAACTCTACACAAAGAAATATGTGTATGCAACTGAGGAAACCTGGGATAGGAAGAGGCGGCCTTCCTCAGGAAAGAGCACAACAATCGATTGTCCAGTGTCAAATAGCATCACTGAAAACATACATAGAAGTAGCATTATATGTATGGAACAAGTTATATTTAGAATATATATGTACATACTAATGCATATATATAATAATAATTAGTGTAAAAAGAGAGCAGGAATTTGAAAGAAATCAGGGAGAAGTATATAAGAGAGTTCAGAGGGAGGAAAACAAAGAATGAAATATTTAATTAAATTATAATTTCAAACATTAAAAAAAATTTAGAATCACTTTAGAGAGATTTGAAAATATATATAGTTCTTTATGAGATGCTTATTATTTTCTATAACTTAAAATGTTTATGTACTTTAATGTGAATAATATTCCTAAAAAGGAAAATATCTACAGTAAAATAGAAAAAAAAACATTGAGATCCAAGTTAATAAGAAATATATTTTTCTAATGCATAAATTGCTATCAAGTTATTAGCTAATAAATGTTCACAAATATGGAAACACATTTTTATTTAGTTAGGTATAACCATATAGTAATAACTGTATGGTTAACTAAACCATATAGTTAACTACATAATTATAACCATGTAGTTGACTATATATAGTAAAACATAGTTACCCATAAACTTGGGCTGATTTTATCGTTCAAGAAAATTGATTTTCCTCTCCCAGAAGCTACCAAATACAAGTTTCTCATCTACTAGTGGGTTTTCTCATCTGCCTTCGACATCTATGCTGAGGTTTTTCTGGTTGGTCAAACTGAATAGCTACATGGAGAAGAATGAAACTAGATGCTCATTATTTTTTTTAAGGTGATACCCTAGTCATGTATAGCAGGACACATTTCCATGGCTATTATTAATATTCATCTATTGGCATCCTTGACTTATACAGAGGCCAACAGTTTATGAGGTCAGAAAGTGATAATCTGATGTGCACATCGCCTGAGGATGGAAGTGGCAACCTCATCACACAAAATAAGCAACACACCAAAGTATACATGACATAATTACATATAATCTCTTTAAATTCCTTTAATTCCATAATTATTCATTTAAAATTATTTTTTACCAATGATTTATTTTAAATAGGGATCAAGAGAAATTTATGCTTTAAAATTAAGTGTTATAATTTGCATACACTTAATACAGAAGTTTATAGAGAATGTAATTGTTGCCTTTGAGACAGTCTTTTCAAATTTTAGTTTGTGTCAGTGCTCATGATAATGAAACACAGACACCACCACTCAGAACACTTTCTCAAGAGGGGAGCACCAGTAGCCATCTAATCTCTGTCTACAGGTTGAGCCAGTGTTAGGATCTACAACCTGTAGGAAGACAGCAAAAGCTGCTCATCTTTTCCACCTGATGCAAAAGCAGTCAGTGACTGATCAATCATTTAGTCTTTGGAGCACCAATGAGCTCTGCTCCTACCCTCAAAGTTAGCTTACTGTAGCACACAAGGAGGCTCTCCTACATACAGTTACCTATTTATCTGTGTGTACATAAACAGGATCTGGCCCATGACACTACTTTCCTTTTTCCCTGTCATCTGATGTAACAGGGTCATCCAAGACAGAAATTCCATTTACAGCTATCAAAGATTTTGTTTTGAAGCCTACCTTTTCATTCTGTGGTATATATAGTCATTTCTTGCATTTTGAGAACTACATGCCTATTGTTGAGGGCTGGGAATGAATAATGTTAATAAAGATGATATAATTTGCAGCCAATCAAGCCATGATAATGAAATTAAGCAAATACAACCAATCTACCTCTGCTACTTGATAACATATAGATGGCAATCTGCTAAAAAAAAAAAAAAACTGTGGTGATAAAGTTAGTTCTACTATCTTGGTTTAAGGATGAGAGATTTGCTTTGTGAGGCAGAGTATATAGCAACTTGCTTCACACGGTATATACTCACTTATATAGACCTATAAGATATGATGAACATAATGAAATCTATACACCTAAAAAAGATAATCAAGAGAGCGGACATGGGGTAAGATCATCAATCCTCGTTTAGAAAGACAGATGGGATGCGCATTGAACATATGACAGGAGTCTACTGAGCGCATTTGAAAGACTCTAACTAGCAGTGTTTTCAAAGCAAAGACTCATGACCAAACCTTTGGCAGAGTACAGGGAATCATAAGAAAGAAGGGGAGTTAGTCTGATGAGGAAAGGATAGGAGCAAGGACCAAATATATCTGGGCACAGGGTCTTTTCTGAGACTGACATGCAACCAAGGACCATGCATGAATATAACCTAGAACCTCTGCTCAGATGTAGCCTGTGGTAGCTTAGTAACCAATTGGTTTCCTATAGTGAGGGGAACAAGGACTATTTCTAACAGGAACTCAATGACTGGCTCTTTGACCTCCCCACCCCCCAAGGGAGGAGCAGTCCTGTTAGGCCACAGAGGAGAGCTTTGCAGCCAGTCCTGAAGATACCTGATAAAACAGGATCAGATGAATGGGGAGGAGGTCCCCCCATTAGTGGACTTGGCAAGGGGCACAGTGGAGATGAGGGAGGGAGGGACTGGGAGGGAATGAGGGATTGGGACACGGCTGGGATACAGAGTTAATAAAATGTAACTGATAAAAAAAATAAAATTCAAAATAAATAAATAAAAAAAGAAAAAAAAAGAAAAAAAGAATAATTTTACACACTAATAGCGAAATCTAGCTACTAATAAAAAGATACTTTAAAAATTAAAAAAAAAGTTATAATTGGTCTTTAAGCCAAATCCCAACTAAACTGTCAAGATTAAGGAATATATCTTTTCTCTTGTAGCATAGTGCTAGGGAAGAGGAATATTATCCTATAATTTTTTTAAGTGAATAGTTACTATTGAATGAGAAAGTCAGGGATGACATTGGAAGTGAGAAAGAGGACGTGAGAAACAGTGGTGAGATGGAAGGTTCCCAGCTGGCAAGGACAGGATAGCAACAGGAATCTGGTCTGCCTGGTGCTCCCGACTTACACAAGCCAGCTCTACAATGAAGCATTAGCAATATTACAAATTTTGAGATACCTGTTTAATTCCAGTTGTGTGAGATCGAGAAAAGCTGAGCCCATAAAGTCATCTTGCAGTCCGAAATCATAGTCAAATACCTAAGGCCAAAGAAACAAAGTATTTCAAAATAATTTTAGAAAATATTTAAATGAAACATACTGATTATAAAAACTGGTTATCTCTCCCACCAAAACAATGTAATCTCTTGATATTTATTTGTGATTCTTTGGAATGCTAGATTTTCACAAAACATTCACGTAAACTACATTTTCATTAAGTATTATTTATTATATCATTCTATTTGTATCAGCAATAGAAATTTTACAGAAGGTGTAACAAAATCAAGTAAAATATAATGGATATTTTAAAATATGGAAATCACAGCTTAGAATAATTTTTTATATTCATAGAAGTGCTATCAAGACTAGAACTAAAGTGATTTAGTATGAGACTCAACAAATACATCTTTTGTATTGGGCTATGTGGTTAAAACATGATTCCAATTTATTATTCGTAATGTTTAAGGTCATTAAAGATAAATTCTTTGATATTTTAGAACAATTTAATCCTTACATACAAACAGATAAAAGTACAGGTATTATAGCTAAAGCACTTTTTAAAGGTATATTAAGGTAACATTAAATTAACTTTTGGTTTTTGCATACAATTATTGGGGACAATCTAATTAAAAAATAAAATAAAAAAGAAAGAATTACTATATTTCTTCCTCTGTCCACACTATTTAGAGGCACATGCTTAAGTGCTAATATAGTGAATAAATACATAGATAACATACAGTTCAACGATGAATGCAGAAGACACTCAAGGAAGTAAATGGCATGGGGCTACTGTAACCAAGGAGAGCAGACAGACTCTGGTGTTTTGTGGATAGCTCCCATTGAAAGGAAGAATAAATGTCATACCGATATAAGGAAGACCCTCCAGTCAGAGGAAGCAGCAAGAGGGATTAAAGTATTTAATGATCAGAAAGAAGTCTATGCCATTAAGTCAGAGTAGGAACGCTGGGAAATAGAAATGCGTAGACATTAAAGTATCTAAAGGGGAACTGGCCAAATTCTGAGCACTTAGTGATTTTCTAACTCATGTATTCTCTCAGCTGATAGTGTCTAAATAGTTACAATGTGCCAGGCAATATATAAACACTAAGTAGACAGCAGTGGTGAGCACAAGTAACATCATTAATGTTGCTAGCTTAGAAAGGGAGACAGATGTTCAGCAAGAAAGTAGGTAGTTTTTGTCTTTGCAGTTTTTTAATTCTTTTTTTAAGTTGACTTTACATTTTTATGTGCTTTAAACAGGGGCAACAACAATAATGACAAAAAGGGAAATTGGGGAAAACTTGTGAAACAAAATATCAAACCATAAAGCCACCCAGAGAAGTTTAGAGCTGTGCTGCCGAATCTTTTAAAACAGAAAACGTTTGAGTACTACAATAACGAATATAAAAGGATAAGACTTTCTGAGTGGCTGCCCAAGTCTACTAGCCACTTTAGGAATGAAACGGAATGATCCAGAGGGGATTAGGAAGCCCAGCATTTTGTATCTAGCCCTTGCCTCAGTCAGCTCAACAGAGGGAGCACCAGGCACAGCAATCCTGAGGCTGCTGGCGTTTTCACCTACAACAGCTGTGCTTCAAATAAAAACAGCACAACTAAATGTACAAGAAGCTGATTTTTAAACAAAAGGACATTTACCTTACCTTACAAAAAGATTCTCAGATTTGAAGAGTCAGGGGGGATTTATTTAAGTAGTTGGAGTATCCCTAATGTTTCTTGTATTCAGTTTGCAGTCGAATGATTTACATACAACTTTCAGTGTGCGTTCACTGTGGAAAGTGCCGTACCTCTGCAGCAGATCAATTACGCTTCTGAGCTTGTGCTGTCTTCCCCCTGGCGCATCATATCAATATACTGCGTACCTTTAGCATGTGAAGTCTCTATCTGCAGGTGGCCACAGTAGTGCTTTTATAACATAAAAACATTAGGAAAATTTCTCATGAAATCTCGTAATTTTGTAGTTCTCAAGCTTGTAAGCTTGGGGACAAGATAAAGTGACATCACACAAGATGGAAAGCAATATAGCGACTTTATTACTAGGCTTCCTCTCAACTGGGTTATTTTCTACCCAAACTCTTTATTGTAATGGTCAGAGTCTCTATACTGTTGGAATATTAAATATTTACTTTAGCTCTCAGTTCCCTATAAATCAGAGAAAAACATAAACATGAAAAAATGGAAACATTACAGTCCATTCATTATTGAAAGCATTAGCTATGCTACTTGGGTCTGAGTTCTACAAATTTATTTGTTGGAGGGAACATTCCTCTGGGTGTATCTTAGTATAGAGCATAGGAGAGGGAATAAAATAGGGAAAAGATGTCTCGGTACAGAATCAACAAGAAAAATTAATATTTACTTAGCAATTACTATAAGTTACACCATGCTCTAAAATACACTGATTTAAAATTTTAAGCAAATTTCACAGTTAGCAAAATATTGTTAGCAAAATAGTTTGTATTTTTCAGATTAAAACATTTCAAAAACATTTAGTTATCATCAAATTTGAAGGCTAGGAATAAACGAGATTCAAACATTGTTTTGAGTTTCAATAATAGAACATGTTTAAATTCAACATACATGACTCAGGCACTCCACCCTGAGAGAAGCATTGGGAATTAAATAGATAATTTCATATGACCCTGTCTATCAAGGTAGCTCCATTCTGTGAGTTGAAAACATTAGGTGTCATTAGGTAGATACTTGCTTGGTGATGCCTTTGATTATTTTCAAATGAATTTAAAACAATAAGTATTCTATAATGAACAATGAATTCTCAATTCTTCAGCAAATGCTACCAGCGTGTGCCACTACAACTGGAATACTGCTCAGCCACTGATGGGGATTGCATTGAATCTGTAGACTGCTTTTGATAGGATGGCCATTTTTACTATGTTAACCTAACGATTCAAGAGCATAGGAGATAGGAGATCTTCCCATCTTCTGATATCTTCTTCAATTTTTTTCTTCAAAGACTTGAAGTTTTTATCATACAAATCTTTCACTTGTTGGTTAGAGTTATACCAAGGTATTTTATATTATTTGTGGCTATTGTGAAGGGTGTTGTTTCTCTGATTTGTTTCTTAGTCCATTTGCCATTTGTATAAATGAGTGCTACAGATTTTTTTTTCTTTTCAGTTAATGTTGTATCTCACCACTTTGCTGAAAGTGTTTATCAGCTGTGGGAGTTTCCTGCTAGAATTTTTAGAGTCACTTATGTATTCCATACATAGTCTGCTAATAATGCTACTTTAACTTCTTCCTTTCCATTTGTGTCCCCTTGATCTCCTTCAGTTTTCTTATTGCCCTAGCTAGAGCTTCATGCACTATATTGACTAGATATGGAGAAAGTAGACAGCCTTGTCCTACTCCCAATTTTAGTGACATGTTTTGTAGATACCCATTAGATCCATTTGGCTTAAAACATCTGTTAGCTCCAGTATTTCTCTGTTTGGTTTGGATCGATGACCTGTCTGTTGGTCAGAGTCAGGCATTGAAGTCTCCACTATCAGTGTGTGATAGTGATGAACATGTTCATTATTGCTATTTTGAAGTCCTTGTCTTTTGCTCCAACTAAAGTGCTTTAGTAATGCTTCTTCTACAGATGTGGGTGATCTTAAATTTGGGGCATAGATATTAAGAACTGAAAAATCATCTTGGTGGGATTTTTCTTTTGATTAGTATAAATTGTCCTTTCCCATCTCTTTTGAGTAACTTTGGTTTGAAGTCTATTTTGTTGTATATTAGAATGGCTACACTGGCTTATTTCTTAGGTCCATTTGCTTGGAAAATATTTTTCCAAATCACTATTCTGAGGTAATGTGTATCTTTGCTTTTGAGGTGTATTTTTTTTTTTTTTTTGTATGCAGCAGAAGGATGAATCCTATTTTCACATCTATTCTGTTCTTCTATGTCTTTTTGTTGGGGAACTGAATCCATTAATACTGAGAGCTATCAATGACCAATGATTGTTAATTATTGTTTTATTTCTTATTTATGTTGTTGTTATTGGTGGTGATGATGGTGGTGTTGTGTGTGTTTCTCTTCTTCGGGTTTTGTTTGTCTGAGATTATTTTTTTCCTGTGTTTTCATGGGTGTAGTTAACTTGCTTGGGTTGGAATTTTCCTTCTAGTACCTTCTGTAGGGCTGGATTTGTACATAGATATTTTCTTAAATTTGACTTCATCATAGAATATCTTATTTTCTCCATCTATGGTGACTGAAAGTTGTGGTGGGTATAGTAGTCTGAGTTTCTTAGAGTCTGTAAGACATCTATCTGTCCAGACCCTTCTGGATTTTAGACTCTCCATTGAGAAGTTAGGTGTAATTCTAAGTCTTCTTTTATACGTTACTTGGTCTTCTTTCCTTGCAGCTTTAATATTCTTTCTTTCTTCTTTAGGTTTAGTATTTTGACTGTTATGTGGCAAGATGACTTTCTTTTATGATCCAATTTATTTGATGTTATGTAAGTTTTTTGTACCTTTATAGGCATCTTCTTCTTTAGGTTAGAAAAATTTCACATTATGATATTGTTAAAAATATTTTCTGGGTCTTTGAGTTGGGAATCTTCTTGTATCGCCATTATTCTTAGGTTTTTTCATAATGTCTAAGATTTCTTGGACATTTTGAATCAGAATTTGTTTATATTTAGCATTTTCTTTGACTGCTGTATCTATTTCTTCTATTGTATCTTCAACAGCCGAGAGCCTCTCTTCCATCTCTTGTTTTCTGATGGTGAGGCTTATATCTGTAGCTCCTGTTTGCCTGCCTAAATTTTACATTTCCAGAATTCTGTCTATTTGCATTTTCTTTATTGCTTCAACTTCTCTTTTCAGATCTTGAACAGTTTTATTCATTTCCTGCAAATGTATTTTCTTGGCTTTCTTTAAGCATTTTTTTTTCATTTCTTCCTTTTTTTCTTTCTTTCTTCTTTTTTTTTTTTGCTTTTCTTTCTCTCAATTTATTTAAGGGATTTATTAATTTCATCTTTAAGGGCCTTTACCATCCCCATAAAGTTGGTT